GCGAGAAATCAACTGGAAAAAATAACAAAAAGCAAAGAGTAGGACTCCTCGCGGCAAGCCGAAGCTGAAATACGCTTTAAAAATACATGGCTCAGATCTTATTATATGTGCATTGGGAGATAAGTTAGAAGATTAAGAGAGACTTGCAGTAAAATATGGCCAACAGCAGATTTAATGTGAATGAGATGATAATTTAGAAGAACTAGCTATATTTATTTGGATTAACTAGAGAAATAGACACAATTCTTATTAATATTTCTGTATTATTCAATATTTATTGATATTTTCTTCTCTTTTTCTGTGTGTTACACATTCGATGACATAGCTTAAATACCCATACACATGTGCATAGAGAAGTCAAGGCAGCTGCGCCGCAAAAGCAAGCAGCACACAATTCGTGCACGTAAGCTGCAAATGTGTGTTGGAAAACGTATTAAAATGCAGCGGAAGTGCAGCTAGAGACAGCTGTTATATGTTATAAAATATATATAAAAAAAATAAGATTTATATATATATTTATTTCTGATTACAAAATGTTCATTCAGAAGTTATGAAAATTCATAATATGCCAATATGAAGAGGATCCCACACCCTCTCTCTCTCTCTCTCTCTGCCACTCCCCCTCACTCCACCCCTCGCTCTCTCTCGCTCACACACATGCGTTGGCCTGGCGTGCAACTTTGTGGTCTTTTAAAAGATTGTTTGCATTATTTGTGGCTGCTGTTGTTGGTATTTGCCAGTCCCACCAATGGGCCGACAGCCCCCTACGGCCGCTCCCTCTTATGGAAAACGAAGCCAAAACATTTGCTGAGCTGTTAACAAAGTGAAACCGCATAGTTTGTTTCGCTAAAGTTTGGCGAAAACAGAAAAACAGAAAAACGATAACGGTATTTAGTTTGCATGCGCATCGGGTTTTTAGGGTTTTGTCGGTTTTTTGGGTTTCAGTTGGGTTTTTGCGGGCGCTTTTACGGCTATTCTTGTTGTTTCTCTTCTTGTTGTTGTCGCTCGAGAGGATTAGCAAACAGCAACAGGAGCAGCAGCCCAGTGGAGCACAGTCCTGCGATTATGCGTATGCCTGTTAAGCCCGCAGCTTAGAAAAGTTTGCCATATTTTTGAAGGGTTTATCAAAAATAAATACACAAAAAAGCACAAGAAAATAATAATAATAATAACATGAGGGAACACATATACACAGTTGCTTGAATGTCTGCAAGCCCTTAAGAAATTTAAACTCTATTTTATAAAATTGAAATTCATACGCTTTAAACGAGTTAAGTTGAGTGGAGCCGAGTTTGAAATGTGGCCAAATCAAGTTTCTTTTGAATATTAATAAAAATGGCTTGTTATAAATATTTTAGCATACAGCTCGAAAGTTGATATTAAGCTATTGATATGCTGCTTCAGTTACAAGTATTCTATATTCTAGCTAAGTAGTTTTAGCTGTAAACACTGTGAGTTCAGCTTTTTGCTGTTGTTCAACCCTGCACTATATTTTTTAGTTAAGCTATGTACATAAGTTTTTAATTAATTTTTAAGTATCTACCAAACATTGTTCTAACGGCAGCATCTAACGGTATCTCATCATTTTCAGTGTTTTAACACGGTGTTATATATAATTTAGTGCTGTAAAATTAGAAAAATTAATTGATGCTAAGTTATAGGGAGTGTTTAACGATAGCTTTTATTTTTCAATGTTTTTAAAAAGTGTTATTTTAAGTTTAGTATTGTAAAATGCGAAATGCCAATATAAAGACCGTCTATCGACAGCATTGTCGCTTACAGTGTTGTAAAAAGGTGTTAAGTTTAACGCTTTAAAAAGAAGCTATGTTAAAAAGAGCGTCAATTGTGCATAACGAAGTTTTATAAACTAAAGAGTTATATTAAAGATTTCTAATAGCTCAAGGGAGCTTAGCTTATATTAAATTCTTTTGAAATGCAACTGGCACTAAACAAAGTCAAGCAAAAATGTTACTTTAACAAATAATTTGCTATGAAAACTATGTTTTCGTTTCAATGGGATTAAAGCTGACCACATTCGAAATAAAACACAGGTAAAATGGCTCACTTTGAATTGATGTTTATGAATTTGTGCCAAATAGATCGATAAACTGTTAAAGTGATTTTATATATATATATTTCTGCCCCGACATAAATCACAAATTAGATTCTTTTTATGACTTTTTGCTATTATTTCCAATTGAATTTAAGAGCGCAAGTCCAATCAGAATTGGGCTTAAGAACTGGGCGCAATTTATGTGCGGTGCATGCAACAATTACAGTTAGTCACAGCCACGTTAACTGTGACTGGACAAAACACGCACACACTCAGCCACACACACACACACACACGCACACGCACAACAAGAAGTCAATTTAGTTGATGCGTGAAGCGAATTATGTTTAGTTCACGCATTTGCAGTGTTTATTTGCTGTTGTTGCTGTTGTTGTTAGTTACTTTGCAGTTGTTGTTGTTGTTGTTGTTGCTGTTGCTTGGTGTTTTTGGCGGCTGTTGTAACGAGCTGCTAAATCGATTGTGACTAATTTGCGGCAGTCACGAGGCAGGCAGCGATTTAGAAAATAGCAACGACTTGCCACGGACAAGGATCGAAAACGAGTACAAGAACAAGGACTCGACTTGACAGCAGGACTAATGTAGCGAGCGGGCATAGGACGGCAGCAATGAAACGCGACACATTCCACATTATTAAAATATTAAAGACAATTCAATTGGAAAATTGGCAGGCGGATAGGCAGACAGATAGAGTGAGAGAGAGAGAGAGAGAGAGAGAGCTGCTGTCAATGCACATATAAAGTAATTGAAATAAATGAGAACATTTATATACATATATATATATATATACTAAATATATATGCACATATCTATATATCTAAAGTAGTGACTAGTTAGTGAAAGGGAGAGATAGAGAGCGAAAGAGAGGGAAATAGGGCGAGCGAGTTGAGGCAACTGTTTAATAAATGATTTCCGCTGTATTCTCAAAAAGAGACCCCCCCACCACCACCCTCCCGCGTAGCGCTCTATAACAAATGCAGCGTGGGCCAGCCTCTATGCTAGCTGTAGCTATATGCTATACAGTCTATGTATCTAAGGGTTTTGTATCTGTATCTGCATGCGTCATGCGTTCAGATTAGAGTCGTTGTTCGTGCCTGCCAACAATTGGCACACATACACGCACGCAGACAGGGGCGCACACACAGAGCGCAAACTAAATCAGTGCGTGTAGTATCTTTGTATCTGTAGCTGTGCAGCAGATGTATCTGTATCTGTATCTGTAGCTGCGACAATGAGCGCACATTGTTGCCAGCCGACGAGCGCTTGTTGATTTTTGTGCGGGTGCATGTCTCTCATTTCATTATCGGAAATATGCAAAGCGACGGCAAACGCCAAATGCCTGCAAATGATAATGAGGGCTTATCACAGAACGAGAGAGAGAGAGAGAGCGAGAGAGAGAGAGAGAGAGAGAATAAGAGAGGAAGCGGAAGTGAAGCCAGAAACAGAACCCAAGCAGCGTCTGAATTAGCTCTAAATCAAAATAGGGGCAGACGACACAAAATAAAAAACCAGTAAATAAAAAAATAAAATAAATCAATCAACAAGTGGCCAACAGAGGCGCAGAAGGGCTGGCGCTGGGCGTGGCTGAGGGAGCGGAAGGGGGGGCCGGGGGCCGGGGGCCGGGGGCCTAGCTGCCAATTCGCAAGTGTCGTCTATTTGTGCGCAAATAACAAACATTGGGCGCCACGCCGGGCAACTGGCAGCTGATTGGCTTTGGGCCTTTGGCTGCAGCAGGGAGAAGCTGAAGCTGAAGAAGGCGCAGAGTGGGTGGGAGGAGAACTGGTACACAAACTGCGCTAAATAATTAATTCAATTCACAATAATGATAATCATATAGCAGCTATATAATATCAGGACATAAATGTAAATATATAGATAGAAATATATGTGAGCAGAAGTATCTAAAATCAGCCGCCAGGCACACACGCACACACTCACACACAGGCACACATACATGTAATAAAATAATCATAAATAAATAATGATGATTTAGCCCGCAAACTGGGAGTCTCGGGCTAGACTCTTGAGTACCCTTCGAATGGATTTGCTGCTGGTTGCCATGCAAATACGCTGTCTGTTAAGTGCACAGCAGCGTTTTGAGCCTGGCTAAATTGTAATGAAGCAGACAGACACGCCCACACACACATACACACACACACGCACAGAGCGTAGCACCCACATGCAAAAGATAGCAAATAAATTGCTATAGAATTTTAGCCCAAAAGTCGCATACTAAAAGCAAACAGCACGCCAGAAGGGCGGCCAAAATGTGTGTGTGTATGTGCGAGGGGGTGTGGCATGCACGGCTACGCCTGCAGCACAGTTTCAATAGCTGTAAGTGCGCGCGCGTGTGTGTGTGTGTGTTGGGGCAGAAGGGCAGACTGTCGTCATGTCAAGCAATTCAATTCAATTTGGTTTCTCACGCGTTTTGTTTGCCAGCCCACGGATACGTTCTCTGGCATAGACTGTCTTGATTTTATTTTTATTTAATTTATTGGCTTTAAAAGTTGTTGCTAGCAGACAATTTTTTATTCATTTTTTTTTTTATTTTTGGCTGTAAATAACAATTTACGATTTACAATTTTGAGCCCTGGCTGGAAAAGTTTATGCAACTCGCATACATAACAATTTGCAGGCGCATTAAAAAGTTGCCAGATTAATATTTAAACTGGCGAAAACTTGTACACATATGGCAGCACGCACACACACACACACACACACACAGACACAAAGGCATACGCACGCACACAGCAAAGTTGCAGCATAAAAGTATGCAGCATAAAATTGCACGCTAGTATGCATTACTCACACACTCGCACACACACACACACACACACACTTGGACTCGCACACTCACTGATAGTCACACGAAAAGCACTCAATTTCGTTTCATTTTCCACTCATTCCATAAATTGACACTTCTACTTACTTGCGTAGACACATCTTTTGCTGCAGTCGCTGGCAGCCGCTGAGCCGTTTTGGTTGTTCGCCGCCTGTCAACGCATTTGTAATTTCCGCCGTCTGCTTCCGTGGCCGCTGGTTAACGGCTTTAAGTGGCGACATCTATTGTCCATACGTCATCAACGTCAACTTTAAATAGCGGCCTGCCGTATAAATGCCGACGGCTGTTGCTCGCCTTCACTCTCTCTCCCACTCTCTCTCTCTCTCCCTGTCTCTTTGACCCTCTCCTTTTCTAGTTCGTATTGATTGCCTGTCGGCGGCACTCACGCATACACTCACACTCACACACTGACACGCATAAGTAACTGCTAACACAATTTGTAGTCTATGGGTTAACTGTATAACTGGATAGCCACACAGCCGATTGCCGCTTTGCCGCGGCAACCAACTTGACACGAGCGAGTTCTGCAGCCAAATGAATCTGAAATAGAAAACTGAAGTGAATTTCGCTCGAAAGATGCTGCGAACACGTACGAACGTCAGCAGCGAAACGACGAGACACGACGCGACAAGACACGAGGAAGCTGCCCAAAAGCTTCGTCAACTGGGACAAGTGGGTTGGCAAAGGGAAGCAAGCGTGCGAGAGCGCAGCACTGGAAGAGTGCACGATTGCACACGAGTGTGTTGCTTGCGCAAGATGTGGCGGGGAAATAATGGCCAAAGAGCATTGTTGATGTCGTCGTCGTCATCGCCTTTTGGAGGGGCAATGTAAACAACAAAATTGGGAGGCTGCGGCTTTTAATTAGCCACCGCTTGCATATTTCAGCAGTCAAGCGAGAGAGAGAGAGAGAGAGAGAGAGAGTGAGAGCGTGAGCAAGCTTTAAGAGAAATCGAGCTGGCAGCTGTTAAGAGAGCGAGGCTGCGTGGGTGAGCAGCAGCAGCAACAAAAGCAACAACAACAGCGCGCTCTGCTGATAAGGCTACTGACCTCTGTGCCCGTGTGCAGTGGCGTCGTGTGTGCAAGGGATTGTACATAGGGGGGGATGGGTGTTGGCTTAGCTTAGCCTGTCAGCCTGCCAACCGCCTGTCTCACACACACACAAATCAGGTTGGCAGCATCGTTTGGCATAACTAAATGCCAATTAAATGCTTTCGAGTGTTTTCTAAATACGTTGAATTTACACAAATTTCAAATTTACCGCAACTTGCGCCGCTTTTAATTAAATTAATGCATTGCCTATTGCCCACAGGCATCACATCATGCCCCTCTGCTCCGCCTCCGTGCACGCCCCCGCCCCGCACCTGCTGCTGCTATTGCCAGTGCTGCCCACTTAATTGTTGGCATTTTTCTTGTGCTGTCTGGACAAACAGCTGTGCCATCAAGCGCATAGATTACACAACAAACAAAAGCCGCTCAGAGACAAAAGGCAGAAAGGACTAGAGCAGGACTAGACCCTTGTCCGGCCGACGGCAGCCAGCCGAGCTGCGAAATCCGAGCAGCTTTAATTTGGCCACGTCAAACGCTGAATGAAGGCAAATTTGTTCTCACAGCAACAACAACGAAAGCCAAGAAAATAGTCCAAAGATCTGCTGCCTACATTTAGGCGCACATATTAATCAAAAAAAAAAACATATATATGTAAGAAAAGGCAACTCAGTCTTGACTTTTGGACCTCGTTTGGCTTTCGGAAGCAACTACTAATTGCCAAATGGCTTCTTGGGCCCAATGTGTTGCTAATATGCCTTTGCTCAAGAGGTTTCTGATTTCAAGATGGCGAAATTGTGGCGAAAGTGATTTAAATAGCGCTCTTCAAATTGGGTTGAATCTGTATTTGTTGGGGCTCAACTAAAACAGCTACTTGTGGCGAAAGTAATTTTGAGAACGCTGATAGTTCTCTTCAAAAGAGGTTGGGCATGTCTTTATTAAGGTTTTTATTAAGCTACTAGTGACATTTTAATTGTATTCTGTCTAAGCTGATTCTGTAATATGTCTTAAAATAGTTCATGTTTAATTGGCGAAATTGTAGCAAACGAGATTTTACCACAAGCTAACTTATTTTTTAAGACTTTAGCTAATTAGTGTTTATATTAAAATCAACAAAAGTCATTTACCAAATAAATAATTAAAAAAGAACAATCTCCTGTCAAAGGCTATGACAAATTCGCGATATCAAGGCGTTAACGAATACAGGAATCAGGTAAAAGTGTGTTAAGAGTATATAAAACCTTGCCCGTAGAAACAAGAACAATTCAAACGTATAATTTCATCAATTACGAAGTACAAAAAAAAAAAGGAATATAACTTTTGTTGTTATTTCTACCTTGGCCCAGTCTACTCGAAAATAAAAAAAGGCGAAAAAATGTAGCACAACCTCAATCTCAGTTCGACAGCGTCGCAGCATCAAGTTTCTCACAGTTTCTCAGTTTTGCAGTGCACGTAGTTTATGTTTTTCGCTCGCTTTCCCTCGCTTTCATATGCGACACACACACACACACACACTCACACACACACTCAGACACACACACACACACACAACTCACACACACACACAGATAGGAATAGAGCCCAAATGATTAATGACCGTTTTGCGTTAGGTTTTCCATTGTTGTTGTTGTTGTTGTTGCTGTTGATTTGCTGGGAACTTGGGTTGTCAACAGAGCGTCGCACAGTTGTCGATGGCAGAGTGAAAAGGCGAAGAAAAAGTGGAAGAATCGCAATCAGTAGTAGAAGATGAAGAAGCGCATGCACAAAGTAAAACTAAGTAAAAGCCAAAAGTTTGCCTGCAAATGAAATTTGATTTCAACGCCAACGGCTGAGCAACAACTCGAGTTACACGAGTCGCACAGTCGAGTCTTCAGTCTCGAATCCAAAGTCCTGCATCCTGGCAGGCGCCGCAATTTGATTGAGTAACCTTGGGATTGGCAACTCATCAGCAGGCAGCAGGCACAAAGGGCATGCGACAACAGCCAGCGCAATTTCCCTCACGGATTATCCAGTGTTGCAAAAGGAATCGAACAAAACAAAAAAAAAACAGTGACTGAAAAACTGTCGATGATGCTTGATACTGATTGCTTTAGCTGATCTGTGTGATAAAGAAGAAAAGGCAGAAGCAGCAGCAAACCTTTGCAACACTGAAGGCACTGTCAACGCTTTGCAACACTGGCCGACAAAGTTACAGATTAAGACCAATACTTTATATTAATGCTTCAGCTGAGCAGTATGAAATAGAAATGGCAACAGAAGCAAAAAAAAAAACTTTACAACCTGCAGTCATTTTACAACACTGACCGAAAAAGTCTTTGTATTTCACACTAAATCGCCGAAATAAGACACAGAACTTGACGAATACTTAACACCAATGCCCCAGGCTGATCTGTGTCTAAAGAGGAACTAAGAGCTGTAGCAGATATGCTAAGGCCGTGCAACACTACAGGTATTTGCCACGTTTAAGAACACTGCCACAAAAAGTCACAAGTTCTGCATGCCAATTTCAGTCGAAAACTTTATGCGGCATTTGATGTGGTTTTCTTGCCCTGAATATTGAATGCCACATGCTACAGTCGAGAAATGCCGACTGCCTTGATCCGTCCCTGCCGCTTGGTCCTTTACAATTCAGAGCTAACGAGCCGCTGGCATCGCTGCTGCGGCCGAGTGACAAATGAAAAATGAAAATGTTTTTCAGGCATATTAAAAAGGATTTGCCGTACGCCAGATAAATGTGCCTAGGCACAACGCATTACTTAAATTAATTTTCACACACACACAAAGGCGCACACACAGGCGCAGAAAAAAAGGACAACTGCTAGACGAAATCGGCAGCTCGGTAAATATTTAAATGAGCAGAAGGACAACAGAGGGCTACAAAATATACAAAAGAAAAAAAAAAAAACAAAAAAAAAGAAAATAAAACAAATAAATGGCCAACACGTCGAACGACGCATTAAACATGTGCAAATATTTGCGTAGCGATGGGCCAACAAGGGGCAATGTGAAAAGGATATGGAACAGCACACCTGCAGCAAGGATAACAGGCGGCAGCACGCGAAAAATTATGTCAAAAGCTGTGCAAATACAACAAAACAAGAACACAAAAAAAAAGAGGAGCGTTACACAAAAGCATAGAAAAGTGTTGAAATAACAACAACGGAAAAACTTACCCAGTTCACGTAGGCAACGCTTTTTTAATTAGCAGCCAGCCAGGAGCTGGCCGGATTGGCCGGACTGGCAGGACTCGACGCCAGCCAGTTGCGCATTTTGGAGACTGTAAAGTACACAGAGAGGATATCATATTTGGGATTAGCTTTTGACAACATTCAGTGCGGTTTTTTTCTTGTTTGTTTGCGTGTATTTCAAAGTGGGTTAAACAATTTGCGGCTCGTTGCGCTTTAAAGTGGGCTGTATAAAAAAGTCAGAACGGGGCGTGACGCTGTCGTTGACAAAAATCTTTTGTGGTTGCCTCTAATTAAAAAGCGACGGCCAACACCGAGCGGGGCGGGCGGCTGGCGCGGTTCGAGAAGCGGCTGCAGCGGGCGCAGTCTTTGGCTTGGCCCAATGAAGCGAGTGCGAACGACAAAAAACTATAGCATACTTTAGAGCGCGGCGCATATTTTGCCACGGCATAATTAATTAAAAATATCTGACATGCAATAATAAATTTTCGCCTAGTCGCCGCGAATATGTGTTTGTGTGTGTGTGTCTCTCTACCTTACGCCCACACACACTCCCCCTCTCACTCTCTCTCACTCTGTCTCTCTCACGCCGTGTTAAATGCCCCAAAGTGCAAAAGTTTTAAATAAATGAATTTTGTGTGCGCAGCCAAGGCAAAACATAACTGACATCATTAGCAAACTTTAATACACTTTGCGCCCAGCGGCAGCCACTCAGGCAAAATAAATAAACGAAATGAGACCAAATGATGCGCAGTGGAAGGCAGAAACATGGAACAAAACTAAACTGAACTAAACTAAAATGAAATAAAATGAAATGCGAATTGTATACAATAAAATTTACGTGGCTCACTTAAAATGCAAGCCACACGGCCACTGAGAGGGCTGTAAAATGTTTGCCATATAATAAGTTTGACTTTACAGCGTTGTACAACACTGTTCATCATTTTTGCAGAAGAGTTTGTGGAAATAAACTATTTGAAATTCTATTAAAGTTTGTGTTGCCTGCCTGTAAGAACATTTATCTTGTTTAGGCATTACACAACACTATTTTAGCTAAAATAATCGACTTCCTGCAAATGTGCATGTTTACTCATAAATATTTAAATAATGGGGTAGGCAATTATTTGTAATTGCAAAATATATGAAGCAATTAATACAAAGCAGAGCATTTGAGAGATTAACCAACACTATTTTCCGCTAAATATATATGGAAAATGTGCCATTACGCAGTCTTTCGCATTAGATAAATGGATTGTAAATGAGTTTTCTATTGAGAAAATAAATATTTACTAGCATTCATTTTTGCAGCGTATACCAACACTGTCGCCAACCTAGCGTGCAACTCAAGTGTTTTCTCTGCTGTTTTTCATGTGCGAAAATTTATTTAGAAAACAATTTAAAGTTTGCACATTTGTTTCAAATATGCAGTCAGCTGCGGCTGGACTTGAACCGGGCTTATGCAGAGCGGCAAAGCATTGGCCAAGTGGCTTAGATTTGGATGGCCCCAGCCAGAGACGGGGGCATACAATTCACAAACAAGTCGGGTCGAGTCGAGTCGAGTCGAGTTGAGTCGAGTCGAGTCCATGACAAAGTTTTTGCCAGTGAAGGTGGCAAGAACTATGTGGGATTAGACAATTTGTATGCCAAGCACTGTGGGTCGCGGTGTGTGGTTGCGGCTGTTACTCGAAGCGAAGCACCACCAACAGCACCGCCGCCACCAACGGCAGCAGCAACGGCACCATCCCCATTATGCCACAACTGATGTTTACATTTTTAACTAAGGCAAGGAAGGAAAAGTTTGTCCTGGCGCAACGAGGTCCTGTCCTGGCTGCCTTTTTCACGTTTCGGCATAAAATTTAATGCATATAATATTGGCTAATGATGTTTACAATGCGCGCGGGCTTAGGCAGGCATTAAAATTGTCGAGCCAACGCCAGTTGTGCCACCTGCTGTACGCCAGCGCTCTCCACGCGCTCCACACCTCACCGCATCTCACCTCACCCCCACAAAGCTCGGACTCATTTCGATTTCCCTGGCTGCTCAGGTAACCAAGTTAGCAATTAAGACAACTGTGCACTCAATATGCCAGCCAGTTGTTGGTTAATTGAATGCGACGCCAGCTTAGGGCAGACAATTGCTGAGCAGTGTTGTGTAACGTTGCGTTAGTGTTATATAATTGCTTGTCATATCTATTTTGCACGCGGCTTGGTTACAAAAACTTAAAAATGTAACTCTAATTTGTATGCCTCAAAGTGGAAACGCTGGACGAATTCTTGATAGCGTACGTTTTGGCTGTTGCAGTGCTGTGTAACGCAGCGTAGGGCTGTGTAATTGAAAGTTTTGTATGGTGTACAAATGTTTTGTTAAAAGAAACTAATAAACTTAAGACCTGTTGGCACACTAGGGTGCAAGAGCTTACAGAAAAAATGTCTTTAGAGTAACTTTTAATGCTTGCAGTGTTGGCAAGCGCTTTAATTAACTTTTGCCGTTTGTTGCATTGTTGCCACGCGACTCTGTGCAAACAAGCCAAACAATTCCAAACTAATTAAAAATTGATTGACACGCACACACACTCGGGCCTGCAGTTACACCTAGGCAATGAAATCTGTTGTGGCCGAAAATCTAATTGGATATTTTATGGCCAACACTTTTGACGACTCGGCAACAAAACTGTGTGACCAAATGGGAGCAATTCCGCTGCATGTTTGATGAGTTTGCACGTTGATTTTGCCAGCAACAAGCACAACAGCTCACATATGTCAACATCAACATGGTAACTCCCTCGAAAAGGACAACGGCACATAATTAAACGACACCCAGGACCTTTTGCTGCAAGCCCCTTTCCCTTCCACACACTGATGATGAGCTCTGCGAGCTAATGAGCCCGAATGGATACCCACTGCATGTGCGTGAGTGTTTGTGTGTGCGAGTGTGTGTGTGTGTGGTTGTATCTGGGTTAATGTGCAACTACATTGCCCGAGTACAATTTCATAAATACATAAATACACAATGTCCTTGATATCCTGCTATTTTCAGTCGACATACTGTTAGCTGCTCTAAACTGTTGTCACACACACACACACACACACACACACGCACAAAAATTGCAATTAATAAACCAATCAGCTGCGCTGAAGAATTTGCCACTGATGAGCCCCCAAATTTTGATTTCCCAGACAACATCTGGTTGACCCTAATGACAGGAAATTGTGCGGTCACAAAACTCAACCAGCTGCAATTGCAGCCGCAAAAACAAATCATGATGACCACAAAAGCCATCAAGCAATCTCACACACACACACACATACACACACGTAACCGGATTGCCTGGCAAACATTGCGTTTAATTTGGCCAAAAGTCACAAGCTGCTGGCTACAAATTTGCATAATTGAAAATTAAAATAAACATAAATAAACGAAAATATGTTTGTAAATAAACTAAATGAAATTAAGGTATAACAAAAAAATGAAACAAAGTTCGAAGTTTAAATAAAACATGTCAGAATAGACAGTTCGATTGAATTATGAATGTGAAAAGGTAAAATTAATTAAAGATATTCGTAAAAGTGCTGTAAGTGTAAAAAAAATACATTAAAGAGTACAATGCACAAGTTAATGTCAATTTTTCACACAAGCCAAGTCACTGAAATTTTGTTACACTCAAAATTCAATACACTAAAATATTCGATGAAAATGATCTTAAGGAGAAGCATATATATATTTAAACCCTATGTTATGACACTTTACAAGTTATAATAGCATTGCATAACATAATATTGTTAATTCAATATGTTTTCCAACACTACAATTCATGGTAGGCTAACAATATAGTGCTTTGTTCTTTATTTTAGCCTTTTCACAACACTAGAATATTTATTCTGAAAGCTCATGTAAGCTTTAAGAAACCCTTAACACAGGGGACATTTACATATTTACTATTAATAGAAATCTCAACCAAACAAGCATTGCACAACACTAGTTTTTTCTCTAACTCTAACCACAACTAACCCTCCCTTGACAACACTAGGATAAGATCTGTTAAGATCTTTAAGCAAACTTGAGCACATCTGACACGTCAACTCAGTCTGAACAGCAAGTTCAAGTAAACATGCATTGCCCAACACTATTTTCTCCACTCTCCCTTACTCTAATCACAGCTCGCCCTCCATTTACAGCAGTAGAATAAGAACTTGAAAAACACATGTAAGCTTTAATCGCATAAAAACTAAGCAGATCGCATTGTCCAACACTATTTTGTGGTTTCTCTTTTTACGGCCAACCACAACTCGCCAAGATTAATCTGATGCACTCCAGTGCCCACTTGCAGCCTGTGTCATTTGGGTGCTTTATCGAATGTGAAGCAATTAATGCATGCTTCAAGTGAAAGAGATTCATCTCAACAGTGAAGCCATGTTGAAGCCAGACAATTGCAACATCCATCTTCTGCAGGCATTTGTCTCTTTCACGCACACTATACATGGCAAAGAATATGAAAGAGGGGATGGAAGGGAGGAGTAGATGGCAACGGTCGGTCCGGACATGGACATGGACATGGACATGCACATGGCGGTTGGCCTTTTGTCACTGCGTGAGAGACAACAAACACATTTACTAAATTAAAATTGAATTTATAGCGCACTAAATGCAGCGCCTGCATATATCCTGCACTCAAATTGCCCTCAGTGTCCTGGCAATTGACCCACCCCTCCCCCCTTCCACATCCAGAAGACCTCGCAGCATACCTCCATTGTGTTTGTTCGCTTGGGTTAGTTTGCTTAATCTTTGACTAGCAGCCAGAGGTCGTCGCCTCGCTCGCTGCCAGGCGAGGCAATCAGTGCGAATGCAGCAAGGACTCACGTGTCCTGTGTGTGTGTGTTTCTGTATGCTCTGTGTGTTTGTTGCGCGTGTTGCAGTTGCACTTGGGCGTCTGTTTGACTAATTAATTATATCATTAAAATGCGCAGCGCAATTTTGCACCTTTTTGCCCGAGAGGAGGCGCAGAAGCGGGCGGGGTCACATAAAAAGGAGCATTAGAACTTATCAGCTGCATGTTTCGTATCTTGGCCAAAAAAAAAAAAAAAAAACAAGAAATCGTTGCCAAAAAAACCGTCGCCAGCGCAAAACAAGCCAAGAAAATAAATTGGTAATTTGATGCGGTAGATGGCGACGGCTCGAGGCTCGTTTAATGAAAGCACAGCTCCCCTCCTTCTCGCAACGCCCCCTTGCCGCACGCCTCTGGCAGCCCGCACATGTTAACTGGCGAAATGGGCAAATCTCTCTCTTGGTGGCTGGCACTGTGCAACAACCGGGCCAGCAAAGTTGTTGGCGTTACGGTGACATAATGAATAGGATTTTGCCATTTTGCGGGCAGAACACAAAAACAACTACAACAATAGTGGGGAGGAGGAACGGGGGTGTGGGCTGTGCAACATCTAGTGCAATTTGAGGGCAAGGATATGCAAAGGATATGCAAGCCATGAAACAGATGTTGCAGCTCGCTGTTGAAAAGCAGCCAATTTGGTGCACGACCATAGATATGGCAAAGTGACAAAAATTTAATATGTAGCCGCACAAACAAACACACTACTGTCACACACACACACACACACACACACACACAGGCAGAGAGAGAGAGAGAACGAGTCGCACACGAGCAAAAGAAATGCGCGCAAAATAAACGGCAAAATAATCGCGCACACAATGCATTGGCAATGAGCCAAGGCAAAGGCTGTATGCCGTATGGCTTTGTGTGTGTCACTGTGTGTGTGTGCAGTGTGTGTGTCACTGTGTGTGTGTGCTGTGTGTGTGTGTGTGGCAAAAGTTTGCGCTTGCTATCGATGAAATTGTGGGTCCAAAAGGACACTGGACACACACACACTCGCACACTCGCACACTCAGACAGTGCGCTGCGATAAAGCCGACGTGGCATGTGGGCGGACAGCTGATGGGCGTGGCAGCAGAGAGCAGGTGCCAGCTGGGCCACCGCGTGGCACTTGTAAAAATTAATCAGGCATGCGACCAAGCAAACAAAATGCCTTTATTGCCAATATTGTGCAGCAATTGTGTACCAATTTTTAAAGAGCCTTAAATGCACACACACACACACACACACACACACACACACACATGCACACACATATGCACGGTGAAAAAAACTTTCAATTACAGGGTGTCAAAGATCGAGAGCAAACACAATGTGTGAAGGCGTGTGTCTAGTTGCGAGCCCTGCAAACATTTCAATTTGCCTGGCGACAGGCGCCGCACAAAAGCCAAACAACAAACCCCGAAAAGCGCATGGGAAAAGAGAGAGAAAAAAAATAAAGGAAATAAAAACAACGAAAAATATACCAAAAAAAATAGTCAGCGAGCTGCAATGAAAATGGTCCACAAATCGGACAAATGGCGCACACAAAAACGCCGTTTCATATCCGGTGCGAGGCGGAAGTGGCTGGCACAGGGACTTTTGTGCCATCCCAGAGCCCGGCTCTGTCACGGCCAATGGGATTAGAAGCGACCCAGTGCAGGCTTCCTTTCGCACAGTACTCACAGTACTCCACATATTGCACTTTTGCCCCGGCTCTGGACTGACTAAAAGTCTCGCATGCACCTCAACTTTATTCTATGCCAGCTAGTCTCTTATTCATATATATATATATATATATATGTATTATTGTATATATAAAGCAACTATTTTTCAACTATTATCAAGCTGATAATGTATTGTGTAAAGTGCTTTTGTAGCGCGCCAAACAAATTAACAATTTATAATCTAATTTAAGCATTTAAAATTTAATAAATTTCATTTCAGTTGCAAACTTAATAAATATGCCACACATTTGATTATTAAATGCAGCAAAAAACGTTTTGTAGCTACAAAAAGTTGATAATTAATTGCTAAAAGAGCATTTTACTGCAATACTAAAATGCCGTTTGGCATTATAAAGTTATTTAGACTCGTTTTAGATGGAATTCTCAATTTTTTTTTTGCAGCCCTTCTATGCGCTTCGCATACGCCTCCTGCCTATCCACACATCAATCATGTGCTCTCTGTTACGTGTTTTACTGCTTGCGCCTTTCCATGCGATTTTCATGATCTTAACGTAAGGCTCTTCACTACACTTCTCTTACTCATAAACCATTCTTAAATACATGGAAACATTTTAAGATTTCTTCTTGAAAAAGCATAAGCAATAAGCATACTATATTTGTACAATGTTTCTTTATTCCAGTTGCACGCGCCCATCTTTGGCACTTGATTTTGGCTGTTCAGTTTGCTGCTTGGCAAGCAAGGCGGCCAATATATGGTTACATGCTCAGGTGTTCATATCGTGCTATCAAAATCTATGCAACCAGCACAAATGCCGCACAAGCAGCCAGGCAACCGGGCAACCAGGCAACAACAACAATGCGGGCAGCCACAGCCAGAGGCAAGCGAAGCTATCAAAATAACAAAATCGAAAAGCGTTCACCGCACTTTGCCATATTGTTTTGTTTGGGGGCAATGTGGTTGTGGCTGCAACTCGCACTAACTGCAACTACAACAGCTGCAGGGAGCGTGGTCATATGGGTAGAGGGGGAGGAGGAGGGGGAGTGTGCCGATATTATGGCCACATAGTCAACAAAACAGCCTGCAAACACAGCACAAATACGCGTACGATAGCAGCAAGAGTAACAAATATCACGCCCACACTCGCAAATTCATATCAACAAACGCGGCTCAAAATCATTTTCAAATACATTTTGCGGCTGCGTTTTTTGCCCATGCGCCGTTTTCCAACACTCATTTAATTGCAAATGTTGCGCGTTTTTAAAGCTGACAACTTTGATTTTGTTGTTTTTTTTTTTTTTGGTTGGTCCCATTGCAGCGGAATTTTTTGATTTACTGTTTAAAATAAATATATGAATAACGACCAAGCGATATGTGCTTTGCTTTACGTTTTATACCCTGTAATGCGCATGGAAAAGGCAACTTTTCACCTGACCAACTAGGGATAGATACTTTTACTTTAAAAGTCCACTTCGAACTTTAAAATGTCAGTTAATAAATAATAGGTATTAAGAAAATATATTGAAAATAATAAATGTTAATTATCAGAAGATAAGATAAGCCCCATTTCATGTGCTTTTCTAAAAATTAAATCTAAATCTATACAAGCAAATATTTATTATGAAAAGTATTCTCTCTGTTATTATTTATTTAATTATGATTCAATGCGAACTCTAAATCAAGTTCCAAGATATCCAAGAAGTTGTCAACACTGACATGTTAACTGCTTTTACTGAACACTGCTAAGCCCCTTTTCCTATATGCCTATTGAACATTTGCTATTTAGCTAATCAACCCGAATAGCTGACAGCAGGGTATGCCTTGCGTTATCCGCATTATTTACAAACATTACTCGCTATTTTCTCGATTATTGTTTAGTTTTATTAAAAAATTGTTTTTTCTTGGTATATTGAAACCATATTTTATAAAAATTTGTTGCGCAGCTGGCGTATCGCTTTTTTGATGGATTTATTCATGTAGAAAATTGCATTAAAATTCACAATTCGCGTTTGCGATTCGATATATTTATATATATATATATATATATATACATATATAAAATGTGTTGGTGCTTATAGCTCACATGGCGTATGGGGAATACAAATATGCAAAAATCTGAACGGCGCGCCGCAAAGTATGCAATTAAAACGGATGGCAAGGTGCAGTCAAGGCGTTAATTCAACTGTGCTTATTTCTGTATATATTTAATAATATTTATTTTAATATCATTTATACAATAAAATATTTAATACATACATAAAACGAATGCCTTGCAGCCTAAGCCCACATTTAGATTGACTTTCACACACAAAGCGAAAACTTTGTGCGCATAAAGCGCCCTCTGCCGGCAGGTGGCTGCAGTGGCCATGCTGTGCGGCTTATCCGCATTTTAATTAGCAGCTAGCAAAAGTTGTAATTGAATTAAGATGCAGTTAAGAGATACATGCGAAATGCAACTAGTTAATATACGGGTTTATTGGACTCAACCGAACAAAGGGTTTGAGATACGACCGGACTTTTTTCATGCCACTGACTACACATATAAACATAAATACATATATAAATAACGAGATATACACACATATATATATATGTATATAGTTGCCGTTAATGTAAGCGTGTGTATGTGTGTGCCTGTGTGTGAAACAGAGCTGGATGTCGGACTTGCATGCTGCGCCCGCTGTGCGGCATTTACCAGTAGATCAGCAGCAAAAAGAATGGCCCCAAACTGAACAGCATTAATCCCAGCAACAGCACGAATGTAAGACGCCAGCTGAGCAGCAGCTGAGGTATGAGCATAAGGTGAGAGGTAGTGAACTTAATACAGCTTTAACTTACGCCCTTCAAGTGCGCTTCGTTCGGGTCCAGCGTCTGGAACGCCTCGAGACTGCGCCGACAGAGCGGACAACGTTTGGCCTGCCAGCTGCGTGCCTCTCGATACAGCCGAAGGCAGCTGCGGCAAAATTGATGCATGCAACATGGCAGCTGCACAGGATCATGTATGTGATCCAGGCAGAAGGCGCACAGATCCTCCGTGCTCCAGCTGCTGATCGTCTTGCTGTTGTTGTTATTATTGTTGTTGTTGTTATTGTTGCAGCTGCCGCTGTTGCGCTTGCTGCAGTTATTCTTTTGTTTCATGGCAACTTTTGTTTATTTTTGTGTTTTGTGTTGAATTTTTTGTTGGAAAAATATGAAACTAATGAAAATTGACAATTTAAAAACTGAATATAAACATAGTATGAAATGTACAAACATTCAAGGCGGCTAATGTTTTTTTGATATGTTTTAGTCGTTCAGAGATGGAACCACAGCATATTTTATTAGACAGTTTTAAAGTTTCCTCTTTTAATTTAATTAAATATATTTTTTAAAATATATTTTTTAAAAAAATATCTCATCTTTCCATTAACTTGATTAAAACTTAAAAAGGTTTGGCTTAAATTTGAGTTTTCTTTTTGGTAATTTTTATATACTGACAAGAAGTGTAACTTACCAATAATTTAATTGAATTTATGATAAATTTACTTTATCTTATATATGGCTGATAAATCAAGTTGCGAGCCGGAATCTTAAGGGTTTGCTGCGCTTGCAGCACTCTAAACATAGTTTAATCAGAGAGTCGGGACAGAAAGTGAGTTTTAATTAAAAAAATATATAAAACTTGTCGGCCATAAATTGTGCACACACCTTGGCGCTAAACGATGTCGTTGTCCTCGAGGTTGCAATAAAATTTAATTATATCAACGCCGGCTCAACTGAAGCGGCAAGCATCGAATGCAATTAGTAGTAGCCTTGTACAACTCAATTAGACGTTCAACAAGGGGCGAATGGAGCACAGGAGGGCTTGGGATTGGGGCTGGGTGCAGCTAAGTGTTTGCCATACGCGGCTCATCCTTGACTTGCACGCAAGAGCGAGACAGTCGCAAGAAAAAACAAAAAAAAAAAAAAAAAAAAACAAGTGAGAAAAAAATGGAAGACGACAACGCTTTGCACTTAGGAGACAGCGAACCGCAGTGCAGACGCGTTATAAATCGAACTTAACAACTACTTTTTGGCAGGACGTAAGGACGAGCGCCAAGGACAACGACTTTGCTTCAATTTCTACAAGCTTTTTAATTAAGTTCCAACTGCAAGTCTGGCAGGCGTTAAAAGTCACATCATTTCTTAGAGCCAGCCAACGGTTTCTTAACAAGGCTGACAAATTGAATTGTGTGACGTCAGCTGTCTGCTGCCTTGTAATTTCTCAGGACACACACACAGTCACAAACACACACACACACACACACAGGCACGCCCACTTTATTATTAGCGCCTCAAACTGGCCAATTAGCTGGGCCGTGCACCACTTGATTTGCATTCGCAACTTGATTAAAAAGTTGCCAATTGCATGGCAATCCACTTGCACAGCATCCCCGCTCCTCTTCCAACCAACCGCACAGCGCCCGCCCCCCCTCCCACCCTATGCTCCTACATTCCAAGTTGATTGTTTATTGTTTGAGTTGAAGCAAACATTTTCTTTTTATTATTATTTTATTTGCGTTTCTTCTCTTTTGCTGTAATTGTTGATTGGTTGCTCGTGCACAAAACTTTTGCCTTTTGTTGTTGCTGAATTTCAACTTAAATTAATTTTACCCGAGTTTCTTTAATTATGCTTATAAATGGCCAAGCGAATTGTTAAAAAAAAAAAATAAATAAAATAAATAAAACACACATTTTACGCGCGCTTAGCTCTCAGTTCTCAGTTTTCAATTTACTTTACCAGGTACTTTAACTGCCTGTTAAACTTTGCGCACAGCTCAAAGATAAACAACAACCAGAAGTTAAACTTGCGCTCACTTGAAATATAATCGAGCTAACGATAACTATTCAAAAGTGTTTCTCAATTATTTACTTAAGGAGTTACCCGAGTCAATAGCTGGCAAGAAAATCTTTGAACTTGCTTTAAATCTGTTGATTAGCAATTAAAACTGAGCGACTCGGTGGTTTTATGATGCGAACGATAATCATTTTGGTCTGTGCTCTAATATGTATGTATTTATCTATATGCATATTGATTCTATGTTTCTTCATTGAATATTACCCACAACAATGCCAGATGTTATATGTATAATGTACTTGGCATTACGAAACTATTATTATTATTTTTTGGTTTTTTAAATAAAATATTGAAAAGTAATATTATATAAGTATTCGTATGATATTTAATAATACAGCTAATTTAATTAAATAAAACATTTATTTGTTTTTTTTTGCTGCAATTGTCATTCTTTAAATTATTTCAAGCAGCTGCCCAACACAAAACCAATCAAATCCCCGCTGAACATGCGCTAAATGCGAACCAAAAGTGAATAAATATTATTTAATAAAACACCTCAAAGCTTGGTTTCACCTTGTTAAGGCAGCAAACAAAGCACATTGAGACCTGTTAGCTTATGCTGCTTATTTTAGCTGGTTATCAAAGTAGCTCAACATAATCCCTATCATATTTTCAAATATGCTATGCTGACTCAATAGTTGGCTGATAATGCTTTGGCCGCAAGACCGCAGTTAAATGTCGTGTAGTTGGGTTGTTCTAGTATTTCCGGTTGTGCTGCGGGCACGCTAGATGGCGCTGCTGCTGTACGCTAATGAGCTTTGTAAACGGATACGTTGGCGGCGTTGTCCTCATTTATGCTAAGCTTTTACTACATTTATGCCAGCGGCAACAACAACAACAGCAACAACAACATCATGAAGCATCAACCGCAACTGTATCGTGTGCTTAATGGGTTAACGTGAAGCTAAATGAATCATGGGGCTGGCAGCTAGCGGCATTAGTGGGTTAATATTTCAAAAGGCGTCGGCAGCGGGGCGGCCGGAAGTTGAAATGGAAATGAAAACGGAAAGGGAACTGGAACTGGAAGTGGAAGTGGTAAAGAAAGGAGAGCTGGGCTAGGCAACAGCCACTGTTTCAATGCAAAAGACAATGTTATCATTTACAGGGTGTCTAATTAAATGAACAGATAATAAAAATAAAAAAAAAAAAAACACAACAAGTCTCTTGCCTTTGTCTCCATTTCAATTTCTGTTTACAGTTTATGCAGTTGTAATTGCAGCTAAGCCGGGCTTGCAGCTGATTTGCCAGCGAAATGTGCAACTAATTAGCAGCAAAGAAAACGCCCGCAAATTATGTGAAATGAATTGTGAATTCTGTGAAATGTGCTCTACGCAGCTGGCCTTTGGCTGGCAGCGTTCACTGTAGTTGCTGGCATTGAGTGGAAAGCTGCTCGGCATTTGCTTTTGGCCAAATGCAGACAATGGCATAAAAGGCGCTCGGTTCGTCTTTAGACATGCGGCGCAGGCCTTCACCCACTTGCGCCTGCAGCTGCCGCTCACTTGAGTGCACACAGTGGGTCGGGCAGGTGGGTGGCAGGTGGGACAGGTGGGACTGCTCACGTGTGCTCAGGGCGTGCGTGTGTGGAAAAAGCAGCTGTAATTCAGCTAAATGCACTCAGCCAGACACGGGGCCAGGAGGTTCATTGTGTCTGTGAGACGGCGCCTGGTGTATGCTGCATGCTGCATGCTGCATGCTGCACGCTGCTTGTTGCGGTTGCACCTTGTAATTGAAAAGTAGGTTGCACATTTAGCTGCATTGTTTTGCTGCCAGTGCAGTCGCCTGCAACGACCCACATTTTGTTGTGCTTGCTGTTGAGCCATAAATCAGGCAGCTGCAACAATTCTTTGCAACTAATTTGTCAGCTGATGCGCCGGTGTGGCATACACACACACAAGCATATCTGCTGTCGTATGCCTTAATAGCCCAAGCAATTTGTTTAGGCCATAATAAATTAAGCCAACAATTTTTGCCAGCTGCCTGGCTGACTGGCAAGAACTTTGCATTGCGCACTCGAGCGTGAAGCCTGTGATATCCTTCGAGTTTGACAATTGAATTTCAAGCTCTCAACTCTCGAGATACATTTTGCCAATAGGCAGATAAAAGATTTGTTGACAACAGCAACAGCATCCGGCGGCATTCACCAGCCGCCCCATCCCGTTGCTCCTCTTCACTCTCTTCCACACCCTGTCAAAGGCTGCGCTGGCAAAACTATGCAAATGACATGGCTGGCACAAACTTTCGGGCTGTCCCCGCAAGGACAACGCAGAATTCGTTGCTAAAGTTTCTCTTTTTTTTTTACTCTTCTTCTTATTGTGTGTGCAAATTTCAGAAAATAGCTGAATAATTTCGTCCCAATGCCATTATGCAAAGCGAAGCGATTTGCGATTGCTTTAAATGATAAGCAATATGTTGATGCTGATGCTGATGCTGATGCCGCTTGCTGCGAGCAAGGATGTCGAAAAATATGTTAAAGCCAGGCGAAAAGGCACTGAACTGTGCTCTTGAAATTTCTTAGAATAGCTTGTCAGATATGAAATTAGGCATAAATAAAAGGCTTGCACGAGTTTGATAAATTGTTTCACATTTTATCCAATCGAATTGTTTAGCTGTCTGGCAACGCCAATGCTGCAAACAACTTGACAGCGCCGTTTTGGAAATTGTTAAATTTACCTCAAGGTCTTAATCGAGAGCGTTGCCAAACGCGCAAAACAGTGCAAGCCGGCAACTCTGTATAATTTATCCCCGTGTCAAGTATACTGCAGCTCTGTATTCGGTTTTTTAAAAACTCTGTTAATTTACCCTCACGACATATCAACAGCAGCTCATTCAATTCGAAGTCCACTTCTAGAAATTTATCCTCATGTCAAGTTCTTACAATCAGTTGCAGTTGATTCTATTAGAGCTTCACTTAAGAAACTGCACAGAATTTATTTAACTTGATTTTAAAGGAAAATATGTGTAAAAGCAGTCTGGGAAGAGACTTTATGTTAGGCGACAAAAAGTGATTGCTTGAAAGCGGAAAGTCAACGTTTTTAATTATTTTTACACAAAGCGAAATTGTGCTCGAAATACGCTGCTTGAGGAAAATATTATTTTTGTCACAGTTCCGAGCAGTATTTTAATTGTTTTCTAAAATTATGAATTTTCTCAGTTCTTTTTTTTTTTTTTCATGGAGTGTGCGCTGTTTTTTGAGCGAGGCGACGACTCACTTAAGAACTGAAAACTTAAACCATAAAACAAAAAGTCCGAAACTGACTGCAAACACTTTTCAGCAGCATTCAAGGCGCCACAATTTGGAGGATAGTCGCGACGAAAGGACACAGTTTCCCGACAAC